GGACTTAAGTTGGGCTTGGTTCTGGCACGGTTTGGCCTGGGATTTGGCGATGACTTGGAAGCGAAATATTTTTTTAATTAATAATAATAACATTTGATGCCCGTGCCGTCCCATTGTTGAAGGCTAACGGAACTGTCCTAAAGGAATGTGGAGTAAAGGTGTTCAAATTGTATTTATTTGCCAAGTTCTCTGGTTCTTGCCCGCATCTCTCCGTTGTGGCTTTCCTATTGTGCCAGCATCTAAGCGGTTCATCAAATTTGTTCGCCTAGCTTAAATTGCATTTTTGCTTTTTAAATTAAAATTGAGGTTTTTGCGGTTTTCATGACTTTGCGTTGGTTGCTATCTGTGACTTTGTGTATCTTGAGAGCATCTTTCTCTTAAATTTACTTATTTTCATATTATGACTTATTATAAGATTAAATGATGACGTAGGGGGTTACAACCGGGTCATCACTATGCCCATTTTAAGACATCATTGCGATATTTTTGTGTGGATTAAAGTCTTTAATAAGATGCTTATTTATCGTAAACTTATTTTCTTCTTGAATATACAAATATTTACCAGTAGATTGGACTCTAGCAGTTTGGTGAGATTCGGGTTTTAAAAATAGAAAAAAGCTAATAGTATCGCAAGTCAGAATCTCATCACAATTGACCAATCCGATATAGCTATAGAAAAAATTGCAACTTATATTATTTAGTTTTGCATACCGCATACACCCCGCGCACGCAGGGGAAAAATGTATTTGTTCATATGCCAAGTATAATTACCATGACTCGCACTCAAACAAAAGGCGCTGCCATAAAGCACACGAATTTTATTGCATTTTACAATTTGGCTCGCTACCGACCCCGGTGAACGTCTGAACTGAACCCTACTCTCGCCGACTCTTCACATGTGGGTTCACATGGTTGGCCCGTGACCCAAAGCGGTCGCAGGTGTAGACAACTGACGCTGGCGGTGACTCACCTGGTCGTATTGTTTTCATTTTCGCATAATTACCAAAGTGGCAAACGCTAAATGGCATAAATGTAACAGAAGTTGAGCGGGAAGCCCTATAGAGCCTTGGGAATTTTTTTGCGCTGCATTTCCGGTTGCTTTAATTTCAGTTTTCGTTTCAGCTGCTTCTGATGTCATTGACAGTGAGGCAGGAGGAAGGGAGCACTCGAGCTGAAGCAAACACATAATAGTGCTATCCATTTTATAGTTCTTTTGTCTTGATGAGTCGTCCAAAAATGGCGATAAAGCAGACGTCAAAGCTTCAAAATTGAAAGTATAACAAGTGTGGATGCCAAAAAAAATTGTTTTTTTAAAAATTCAATTAACCCAACCATTTGACATTGAAAAGGCTTGAAAACCCATTAAGATTTGAGTAAACAAAATGAATCCCTCTGAGTTATCCTATTACATAAATGACAAGTGCATTGCTCAAGACAACGGTCGGCTTTATGTCAACCAAACTATTAAGCAGGCGCACTTAAAACTTCCCGTTTGGGCATAATGTAAAAAAAAACAGTTTGCTTGTCTCATTTGCCTGCTCCTCAAACCACCTCCTACAATACTTGATCTATTTTTAGGCCCACAGCTCACAGAGACGTCGAATTTACGCAACAAATGTTGACATATGAATTTCACGTTTGTACATATTTATTTAACCAAAAAATTACCAACCAAAAAAGACTTAAGACAAATACGGAAGATTGCCTTTGGTTCTTTTTAAGATCTTGTTTCTTTTAATTAAACCCCGTGTTTGTCGATAATTTCGGCGCTGATGATGAGCTCAGTGGTGAGCAATCAAATCGAATGCCGAGCAACAACATTATCATCTATCAGCTAAGCAAAGTGATTGGTAAACAGCAATCAGAAGGAAACTTTGGCCTTCGCCTCCGGCATTACAAATAGCAAGCAATTATGTTGAATCTGCCTTGATTGGATGTGAAGGAGCAATTAGCGGCATTTGATTGCAAGTGCGAAAACATCGGTTGTTAAGTGACAAATTCATTGAATTTTAAATGGCGCCGTTAAGGATTGGCCAACTAAACGTAGCCTTGAGTAGGGCAAATAATTGTTTCTGACCTTGCTATTGATGGGCATTATTCAAGGGAGAAAATGTTCATAAAAAAACAGTTAATTCAACAATTTAAAACGCTGCTAAAATAAAGAATTTTAAAATTATAATATTTATTTTAATTTACTTTAATAATGTACTGGAGAACAATTATTTTAGGTACAACTATAAATCAAAAGGATTTATCCATTAAAATTAAATATAAAATTGTAGCCAACACGCATAAAAAATCACTTCTCTGACCATTTGGTAAATTCCGAACCGCAAATTCCCATAATATGCATAAGACGGAAGTTTGGCACTATCACACAGAAATCAAACAACGCTACTCCATGTTCATCAGCCAAAAAAACTTTCACACGTCAAAGGCAACCAAATCATCTCTCCAGCAACACCTCATCTAAGAGCTAAAAAACATCACATAATAAAAAATTCGCATCTCGAACACCTACACGTAGTTCATGTCTCATGAAAAGCAAAAGGTATGACACAAAGTCCAAGAGGTAATCAAAATTACCAAAAACTATATAAATAAATTTGGCAAAGCGAAAAAAAAAACTTTTACTTTTATTGTTCCTTGTGGTGTTAAAGTCCCTGTCGCAGCTAAAATATTTGCTCATCATGCAATTTGATTTGCAATACAGCTATGAGTTGTGCTTTTGAGTGTGATATCAATCGAACCTCAAGCTGAACACGACAACAGTTGAAATGGAGAAAATTCCGAAAGCAAACACAAAATCCCAACCACTAAAGACAACTCGCAGTGCGTTGAACTACTAAAGTTTGTTGCCTTAGTCTTTTGATTGATTGTACACATTTCCGACGGATACCCCTTGGCAGTCTTATCAACATTTTAGTTGCAGACAACTGCTACTTTTTCTTTCGCTTTTGATTCACTTTGCATGTCTGCTCCTGCTGATTGAAATGTTTGCAATTCTTTTGCGTCACTATTTTGCCCCACCACCCACAGAGGCAGATAGTTGCGGCATTGGAGTGGGCGTTGTTTAGTCAAAGTAAAAGGCTTTTAATAAACATATTTGCGTGTGCTTATGCAATGAAACAGATATTTTTACATCAAAAGTCATTTATGCATTACTCGAAATTTGAAAGTTAAATTCAAAGTATTGCCTGTCTTGCATAATAAGTATACTACAAATATTTTAATGTAGTTAAGTTTTTGTATTAAAAATTGTGTAAAGTTTGAACTTTGAGAGTACTTTTCAGTTAAATAAGCAATACAAAAATATAAGCTTGTAATAAAAAAATATGAGTTCCCCAACAAATTCATGCTTGAGTTGGAGTTTTAGACAATTTCTTAAGTTACAACATCTACCCAAGTAATGTAATTCAATGATGCTTAGTTAAGCTATCGTTAATAAGAAGCTTACATAAGTAATAATAGTAAACAGAAATATATCTAGCTACTAAAATCTCTTATAAGCTCCCATTAATAGTTACATGTTAAAATATAAATTGCATATAATATTTAAGGATTACGTTATATAAATTCTCTAATTTAAGAAAGGTAATAAGTTCGAACAGTCTTACTTACCTTTGGTTTTTACTAGCCGATGGTAAATCGTAACTTTTTTACCCATTTTTTACCAATGACACGCCCCTTCACCCCTCAGTTTCTTTATCTGTGCATAGTCATAAAATTAAAACGATTTCAAGAGCTATTAAATATTTCAGACACATTTCGCACACACAAAAATTGTAACAGTCCCCAAGTGAACAAAATAGACCCAACCCAGACCAAAATTAGGCAAAACTTAAAATGTCTTTTGGAAATGTTGCCGCGAAATTGGCAAACTTTATGTGCCTGAATTTTGGTGTGCAATTTGCGTTTAATTTGGGGTCACACACATTTCGGGCGAACCCCGGGCAATGTTAAGTTATGTAACGTCGAATTTAACAATCTACTAAGGGACGGAGCCGAGGGAAATCAATGTGAAGCAGTTTTCGAAGGCATTTTAAGCGCAACTTGCAACCTGCCCCGCGGCCAAACTAAATGACACATGTGGCTGCCCCGGCCTCTTTCTTTATCTCCCCAACTTTTTTCTCTGAGTGTCTCTCTCTCACTCTCTCTCTCTCTGTTTTTCTGTATCTCGGCCTGTTTGTTGGCGCTGCTGTCGATGCTGTTAAAAAGACTTTCACTCTGGCCAAGCGCTAAAGATGAAATGGCTATAGACTTCGTTATTGGCCAAAAATAAAACTGAGCCATTAACTAATTAGCTCACATTTTGAGCGATTTATTGAGCTCTAGATTTAAGAGTAGCTAGTTACTAACTAAGAAAGATACCTAAATGGTCTTCTTTAAATGAGAAAACTTAAAAATATTTAGCAGCCACTAATTAAAAAGAGGACATAGCAAATTGTTCGTTTTCTAACTATCACTTTTTAAGAAAGTAATCCCATGTTATTTACCATTTTTTAAATTTTTAGATTATTACAATTTCGTTTAATAAATATGTTACTTTTGATTATCTTTAGATTGTTATAACAGAAAAGATATATTTTATTAATTTTAAAAATGCTTTCCCGACTTTTAACGATTTTAAAAATTTGTATTTTTAACTATATTTAAAAAATAATGTTAGTACTATATATTTATTTTTTTAAATGTTTAATTATAATGTTTTATTGATAAAATCAAGTCTTAAGACCAGACTTTATAAATCTATTTTCCCATAAGCAGTTGAACTTGTTATGAAAAAAATGTTGAATACATACTTAAAGTAAAAAAACCTAAAATTAAAAATATTTTGGCTTATTCAAAATTTACAAATTGCTAATAACAAAATAAACATTTTGTTAAAAAATATGGTAGCCCAATTTAAACGGCAAAACACTGATCAACACATGAGCTTTCTGTCACATTTAGGCTTTGATTGAATGGTTGCAATATATAATACAAATGGAATAACTTACCTTCTTGCCTGCCTCGGAATGGACTGCGTCCAGCACATGGGCGCCTTGTGTAATTGATGCATATTCCGGGACGACTTGTAGGTGAGGTCGCCGCACTCCGTCTGCCACACCTGCAGATTCCCCTCCGCCGGATAGAAGGTGTACAGGCTGTGGGTGGCGGAGGCAATCACCGGCGAGGAGCCACCTCCTTCGACCACATCGACCACGCCAGCAGCCACCAGCGGAGACAGGGTGGCACTGGAAATCGGTTGGACGAGTAAGGCCTGTCCGGCTGTTGAGGTTCCGGCTGAACTGCCTCCGCCCGTGGTCTTGTAGTTCAACATACGGGCTGTGCCTGCAGCGTTGCTGGTGCTTATATTACCATTCCCGTCGTGTTTCAGTATCAGGCTACTGGGGTCGTAACCATGTCGATTGGGTCGCGATATGGCGTCCACGGAGTGGGAGCGTAGGGCGTTTCGAGGGGGATTAATGTGAAGCCGGCGCCCGCGGCGATAGTTGGCAGTTCCGGTTCCGGTTCCGGTTCCCAAATTATTTCCCGGTCCCGAAGATCCCTGAATCGACGAGGTTAACCGATGATTGTGAACACTGGAGGCCGAACTGGGCACCAGGGGTTGTCGTTGTTTTTGGTACTGGAGGCGTGGCTGTTGTGGGGGCGGTGCCTGATGCCGCAGCTTGGGCTGATCCTTGAAGAACTCCCGCCTCTGCAGCTGGGGGGCGGCCAAAGTAAGTGCGCCCCTGACATTTCCAGAGTTTGCCATAGAAGCACTGGATGCAGTGGCTCCAGCCGTTGTCTTAGTGGCGCCCCCAGTGGCCGCCGAACTGAGCTGCGCCAGCTTGCTGGCATTGTTACTGTTACTGTTGTTGTTGGCTGCATTGTTGTTGCCAGCACTGGTGCTATTGGTTCCAGATGTCTGATGCTCCGAATCGGTGGAAACCCGATCCGGATCACTTTCGAAACCTTCGTCCAGGGATCGAGTTGGACTCAGAATGGGCTTCGAGTGCTGCTGCTCCAGTTTCGTAGACATGGCTACTGGCCACTAAGGGGTATTACTTGTATTTGATTTTTTGTTTTTATTTTTTTTTTAAGCCTGGGTATTGGGTATCGTTACACTTGCTGCACATATGCACCTTATTTCTCTTTTTTCTTCAGCCTGCCATTCACACTTGTTTCACATCTAATTTCGCTTGGCTTTCAGCTCGTTCACTTCGCGAAAAGTCGCGCCAAAGTTGCAGTCAACAGTTGGGTTCGGGTTTGAATATAAAAGCGCAGCTCCGTCACACACGTCTGTCTCGCACGAAAGTTTTTTTTCGAGTCGAAGTCGGACACTATATACACTTGATTCGCTTCACTCGCCGCTCAAAAGTCTCTGCTACTGGTCTGTTAAGTAACATAAGATACACATTTTAACAGTAAGAGAGGTGAGAGCGCAAAAAGACCGGAAAAGCAAATCGACACTTGTTGCCGCTGCACCTGCTGAAACGTACAGAGAGTGCAAAGAGAGCAAGATCGCTCAGCTGTTTACCAAAAGCTATTTTCGAAAATGTTAAGAGTGAAAGATCAACCGAGAGAGAAAGAGATAGAGAGACAGGGTAGAGGTAGAAACCGGAAAAGATCAACATCTGCTTAAAACTGTTCTTACTGTTTTTTCTGTTCATCTGCACTGTTTACCTGCACTGGAGTGTAGAACCTAAACTATTGAATTTTTGATCTTTAAAAGAATTTCTCCGACGATTTCCTATGCAATCGTATTATATTAAAGTTCTTTTTTTTTGATAACGAGGAAATCTATAAGTGTCTTACATTACGGAAATATATGAAAGACATTCCTTGAAACACTGAATAATCATTAGAAAGGAGCGCAATTCCATAATTAGGATATAATAATCTTATTTTATAAATCAATAATTAAAATTATTAATATAAAAATTATAAATAATAATGTATAATAAACAAAATTTGTATAATGAATGACAAAGCAGTAATGGAGATATTTATTTTGAGAAGATTTAATATTATGTAAAACATTTCTTTTCTAGAAAATGTTTTTTAAAGTTTGGGACACCAACTTTTCTGTCAGCGACTGTAATTTAGTTTTTGGTCCTCAGTTTTCGCTCTCCCAATCTCATGCTCTCTCCACGATGCTCTCCCACACTCGTGACGTGGGATTTTCATCAATGAAAATACCAACTCATAGGCAACAGCAACAACAATAACCGGCATAAAACCCGCTACCGTGAGCAAAAAATGAAATCAAAACAACGCTTTAAAAGCTCGCTGAGAGCAAAAGAGTGGAGAACTTTCGACACCTGCAGCACCACTGCATTAAAAAGTGAGTGAGCGAGAGGAACAGAAGGAGATGGATATAGCAGGTAACTCTGGGTTTTTTACTGTTTTGTGTTACAATTTTATAGCTGCCATAAGAACAATTGAAAAATTTAATTGTTATTGGCTTATTTACAAAATAATTATTACCGATGTGTTTACTTGTTGATCTTAAAAAAAAAAGAAAATATTGACATATTCCTCGTTTGTTATAATTAATCGCTTAAACCAAAAAAGAGTGCATCGAAAGTGTTTAATCGAATTAAAAATAAATATACCCCCAACAAAAAATCGGCTCTGAGGTGACCCCACCAGCCGAACCTTTAATGTTTTGCAAGAGTCGATAGATATTGACCGAATAAGAAATCTTAGAGTACCATGAAATACTTTCGCGATTTGAGGGCGTTTAAAATAAACTTGCGCTGCGAAGTCATACCTAGCATCTTCAAGATAAATCACAATTCTCTGGACCTAAAAGTTTTCGAGATCTCGACGTTTATACGGGCATGGCTATAACGTCTCGGCTAATGATTGTATTGGTTAAGAATGTATGCACTTTATAGGGTCCTTCTACATGTTCCTAATTAGATATGTATTCCTTGTTCCATTGCTTTAGAAATTATTAGGAAAAATATACCTTTTTGGATCTGCTCGATCTTCGCCATAAAATATAAGGCATTTTGAACGCAGTAGGTTTGATCGCACTACTTTATTACCTTGTTCAGAGTTGTTTTTTTTTATCATTATATTTATTTGTATTTTATCTTTATTAAGTCGTTAAATAGAAATAATTCATTTTAGCTATAGCTGCACGGATGTATAAACTTTGGCTCGCTTCGTTTTCCGTTGTGGTTATTTCAGGCGTTATTCCATTGATTTTCGCTTTTCACTTTAGGCTCTCATTTAGGAAATTATTCACTCTCAGCTGAAATCTGATCCAAGCTTTATGATAGTTTCGCTACCCGGTGGTGTTGCATGTTGGTGTTGCGCTGTTGCCGGTGATGATGTTGCTGCTGTTGGTTTGCTGGTGCGGCCTTTGTTGGTGCTGTTATAGTTATAACTGCAATTTAATTATATGAATTATATAGTTTGAACACCACAAAAATGTCGGTCTTAATTGCGTTTGGCAGTAACTCAGATTCCTCAACAGACGCCGGGTCTAGAGCCTTGTTATCGGTTTACGTGACGGTATTTTGATTTTTATTATTAAAGACCCCCGACTGCCACTCGGAGGTGACCGCTCCGGTTGTTGGGCCACTATAAACCACTATTACCGTTAAGGTTAGGCAACGAGTCTCTTTGGCCAAACACTCCATAATGTTCATTTTACGTACAATGTGTGGGTGGAGCGGGAGAATTCGGCGGTAGTGTTTGCGGTTGGCTTGTGTTGAGTTCACTTGGGTTCAAGCCTCAAGCGCAGATATAAACAAGCTATAAAGTCAACAGCTTCTCGGTCTTGGGGGCAATCAATCAATCAAAATGCAGTTAGCGTTGTTCTCGGGCATCAAACCACAACGAATGGAACAACTATAACTATAAGAAATAGTGTAGTTTTATATTTCTTACATGGAAGTTAGCTCATTTAATATTGGGTCTATAACCTTTTGACCCTTTAAAGTCCAAATTGAAAGTTGATTATAAAATGCTCGAAATTAAAATATAGTTCTTATTTTTAATTTTTTTAGTGAGGATCGGCAGTATTTTTGGCAATACATATTTGTGTGCTTGTTAAATATAATATAACCAACATACATATATACTTTTGGTTGTGCTAAAAACAACCTAAATACAAAAGATTAATAGTTTATTTTACACCTGTTCGAAGGAAAAATCGTATCTAAACATCAAAAAAAAAAACACACTTCTGCAAGCCAAATTAAATAAATACAAAACACGAAAGAAAGCAAACTTCGGCAAGCCGAAGTTCATAACCTTGCAGCTATAGCAAGAATTAAAAATTTTTGAAAACAATAAAATTATGATTTACTTGCGTATATGTTTAAAAATATCGAAGCTATGATGATTTGCAGCTCAATTATTTGATATTTATTTTATATATTTTTATTAATTCTATGGGAGCTTGATATAGTCGTCCGATTTTGATAAAATGTTAACCATAATTCTGAAATATTTAACCATTGCTATATGTCGAAGAACTAAATAAACAATTAAAAAACAAAGATATAATATTTTTATTTATTTTGTTCCAATGGGAGCTTTGTGCTATAGTCGTCCGATTTTGATGAAATTTAAATCGTAAATCGGAAATATATAACCATTACTAAATGTCGAAAAACTAAAAAAAAAAATTAAAAAACAGAAAAATTAAAATTTTTTTCATTTATTTATCCGATTGTTCCTATGGGAGCTATATGCTATAGTCGTCCGATTTTGATGAAATTTAAACCTTAAATCGGAAATATATAACCATTACTAAATGTCGAAGAACTTAACAAAAAATTAAAAAACGCAAAGTTATAATTCTTTCATTTATTTTTCCGATTGTTCCTATGGGAGCTATATGCTATAGTCGTCCGATCCGGCTCATTCCGACTTAAATACTACCTGCAATAGAAAGACAACTTTTGGGAAAGTTTCATGCAGATAACTTTTAAAATTGAGAGACTAGTTTGCATAGAAACGGACGGACAGACGGACATGGCTAGATCGACTCTACTAGTGATGCTGATCAAGAATATATATACTTTATAGGGTCGGAAACGTCTCCTTCACTGCGTTGCAAACTTTTGACTGAAATTATAATACCCTCTGCAAGGGTATAAAAAAAAAAAGTTTTCTAAGTTTAGAGTTATATGCGTATATGAAGTTATGATGATTTTCAGTTCAATTATTCGATCGTTCCCAAGGCATCTATATGGAATCGTTTTTAATGAAATGTAAACCGCAAAATAGAAGTATTAAATTACTATATCTCGAAGAACTAAAAAAACAAATAAAAAAACAGCAAATTTATAATATTGTTCAATTATTTTTCCAATTGTTTCTATGGAACTTAGTACTCAGATCGACGAAATCCCTTCATCAGCTTTGAGAGAGAACGGCGGACATTTTTCGTTAGTGTTTTTTTCTCATCTGAGTAGCAGATCGATGAAAAAATACCTGCAAATTTCAAAGCACTTCAAGATTTCTGAAAAATTATACTCAAAATTTGTTGAATAGTACCATTTTTAATAACGTTTTTCACCTGTTTTTATGGCAATTTCTCTGTTTTTACACAGCTGCCTCTAAAAAACATATTTTCAATGAAAAACATTTTTTATTGAAATGGACAGTCCTGTAAATGTCGACTTAAGCTGAATATTTAATTCGAATTCTTATAGCATTAAAACTTAATTTTTAAGTTATTAAATACTACTACAAAGCCCACCCACCTTAGCCCCCACATGGATCAGCTGCCCCTTCAATTGACTCTTCTATCATCTGCTCACATGGGTACGACCATCCAACAACCATCCACCCATTCATCAATTGGCGGCAATAAACAACCGTAAAACGTTTACAAGCAACCGGAGAAAAACCCACAAATCGCTGTCTTCCCATTCCAGACAATTTCATCAGATGGGCGGCAACGAGCGCAACGCAAGAAGAGTTTCCCGGCGAGGAGAGGTGGAGAGGGGGTGGTGGTCTCAGCACCAGTTTAATTACAATTTTACCAGTTATGATAGACGTCGCCCCCGATCTTTTCGATCCTCTCAGACGCTCCGCCCAAGCACACAGAAGCATCAACTGCAACATATGTCACATAATTTCCACAATTATAACATAAATTGAAGCCGTGCCGAGTCAGGCTGTTGCTCTTTTTAGTTGATAGGAGGCGGATAGAGGGGCTGAACAGGTGCAACACACTTGGTAGCCACACGCTTGCGTGATACAGTTTTTGCTGTTGCTGTTGCTGCTCCTGCAACGGCAACAACTTGCATTTAAATTACAGAAAAAGTATAAGATCTCAACTGCAAGATCCCCATGTTTTTAATAACA